AAAGACCCTAAATCTACTGTGTGAATACATGACCCTGGTGTATTATTCACATTGGTTTACATGTCGTCCACAAGCCACTGCATACCTTTCATGCCATAGTAGGAGAAGCGTTCACAGAACTCATTCACCACTATGAAGCAGATGCTGGCCGGGTAATTGGTCCCACAGAGTTTCTAAAAAGAAGCACAGATTGTTCACTGGATGAGAATGAACACTTCTTAAACAACATAGCACATAAGGCATTCATTTAACTCTGGCAGTAAACCTCTTAGTTAAATATACACTGATTCAATCAGTAGTTTTACAATCTCTAACCGAGAGTCGATCAATGTTTTGCCCTGGAATGGGAGGAATACATTCAGTCACTCAGAGACACTCAAATTAATCATTGTACAGAAATATAAGTTCCACAGATGAAAGCTCCTGCTCAGCTACAGTCGTTTGTTACAAGAGTCCAATATATTCCTCTAATTATAGGATAGTGGAATCATCAGTTTTCATCTTACTCAGACTTCATCTGCTCTCATTGGGTTCATTGCTGTAGCCGTACTTTTAAATGAGTACTAGTGGTATTTTACATTTGGATTTTATATTTATGCAACTTGATCCTGCTGCTTTCATCTAGAAGGAACAATTAGACTTTCTAGCAAAAGTGTTTATCTGCTGCAAATTGTAGTTTCTCCAAAGACGGTAAATGGTCTTATATGGCAAGGAAGCACATTGTCAGCACTTTACACTACTGCTTTTTAAAACCCACACACAAATGCTCATGCGCTCGCACCACAGACAACTTAGGGATCAGTGTCTGGCCCAAGGACACTTCTACATGTCGACCGAAGAAGCTGGGGATCGAACGGCCCAGCCCTACAATGAGGGGGCGACCTGCTCCACCTCCTGAGCCATATGCTTAAAAGCTAATATGTGATGTTATTGTAACAACCATACAAGAGTTGAAATGATAATTGGTTTATTGCTCATACAATTTACAATAATTCTGACAAATGATTAACTATTCCAATCACTTATCAAGCAAAAATATCAAACACCTGTCCTCTAACTGCTTCTTCCTTCTGTTTTACAGCATCATAAACCGAATGTTTTTGACAATACCAGCAATTTGAAGACATGATCCTGGGGTCCTGCCAATTTATGGACATTCAACTGAAATGATCTTAGCTCAACAATTTAGCAAATAATAATTGTTTCAGTAGTTGCAGCATATGTTAACTTAAAGAGAGCAAAGTGAACAATTCTTCAACTTGTAAAACCTAAGCACAGTTTGATGCTACAGTAAAATGTTGGACTTCTGCTTGGGGACACAGCATCTACAATTCCGACTGGTTCCCTTGATGATCCACATTACATACAGTTCATTGTCAGTGTGCTTTCTCTGTCCCAGTTACTCTCAGTGGGGGGGGGTCAGACTCAAATCCCTGGCCTCATGTTACCTCACCTAATAATTCCAATGAGTTTCACATGGTCATGGGTGATTTTTATAGTGTAATACTTACTTTAAGGGTCGTAACATTTGTCACGCCCCTCTATCTATCTATCCACCTCGGTGTGCCCCCCCTCCTCTGGATAACCCAAAGATATCCCAAATAAAAACCCATATTCTGCACAGACACAACAGGCCTCGACGTTTTCTATTTTGGTGATGATGTCCTTTAAACCGTGTGTTTCAGACGGACTGGTGTCCCCGTCCGTCCCCGTCCATCTGAGCCAACTTGCAGTCTGGAGACGTGGTTGCATCATCTTAATCCGACGTAGCGTCCGAGCTGGGCTCTGTCACCCAACTCTGTGACAGTGTCAGGCATCTGCACTTTGACGACTTCAGCGATAATGACACCTTTTCACGTTACACTCACTGGAAACAGCCACACGCCTTTGTTCCGGACACACTCCGTGCAACTTTTCATCGGCGCATTTAAATGGTTTTTAAGACCCAAACGCACAAGCGAACAACTTGAACGACAAGTTCATGCTCCACAAAAGCAAAGTTTGTGTTTACCTTAGCCATGCTGCTATGACACCGGAGCTTCTCTTCCGTCCCACTGTCGGTGGACACCTCAGTGAATCCTGGAGCAAACTTAAAGTCGACTTAAAGTTAATGTTCCACCACAGAAGCTGGCCTCGTCACTCCAACGACCACAGGAGGGCGTCACAGACCCTCATCACGGAATCTGGCTTGAACTCACCTGGTGTGGCTGCTGACCTGACTGCGTCATGAAGGGTTCGAGCTCCTTGGAGGTGCAGGCTGTGATGAGCAACATGCACAGCGACGCTGCGTGCGTGCGTGATGTCAGTGTGACACGGTGGTGTCAGTCTGACAAGTCACCTCTTAGTCTGAAAATAGATCCTTTCTTTGGTCATCTTCACATGAGTCTGTGCACTGTGTCCGAATCTGACTTTGATTGTTACCGAATTATTTAAGCCATAGTTTTGATTTAAATACCAAAGAAAACTTCGTAGGAAACTCTGGAGAATGGAGATGCCCTGAGGCACATAGATGCTGCCTGGTTGGGCTTTTTAGATTCACTTAAATTAAGCAAATTGAATGAATGAATGAATGAATGCATCCCTTCTGAATCAGTGTAACAGGCACTTCACTGTACCTCAACACAAATGGCCAAACTATACAGTCACAGAAATATATGGATGAGTAAACTATTAAGGAACCAACCTATAAACAAACAACCAAACAAAAAAACCCCATTTATCTGCACAGAGATATGCTGGAGAAAACCCAGCTGTTATGTTAAACTGAACCTTTTTATCCACTGTGAACTCCACTGATCAGCTAAAAGTATCTAAAAATAAAATATCTACCCATGATTCTGAGTCTGATACAATTTAGGAGATACAGAAAATGCTCAGAGACAGAAAAACATGATGACCAAACTCACATTATGGTTCATAAATTTAAAAAAAGGTTCTTATCTAATCATGGAACTAATGGAATTAGCTGTGAATCAGAAACAATCCATGCAGTCATGCTCCTGTGACAGTGATTTACAGTAGTGATCACCTTATGGGACGAGCTCAGAGTATTTCTCAGTAGTCATCAGTACTTTAAACAGTAAAGCCATGTGTTCATACCAGCTCATATAGGGTCGTCTTTCATCCAATTTGCCACATTTACAGAAATGTTTATTAATGTGCATTCTTTCTGTTATAGGAATAAACAACTGATGTGGACTAAGACACAACTTGTCATCCATCTACAACTCTGTTTTAAAATCTCTGCCCAAACATTCCCACCCTAATTCACACCAAGGCAATAGGTGTCAGTCCACATGTGAGGGTCCAAAGACAGGGGACACTGTTGGTCATCGAAGGACTGAAACTCCACCCAGTGGGGTAAACATGCTTGAACGGAGTAGGAAGAAGTTAGACTTATCTAGTCCTACACCCTAAGTCGACGTATCTGTAGGAATAATCTGACTATTCAGAGCATTCATGTAACCCTTTGAGTTGTCCTTCTGATGTTTCTCAAACATCTGAGTTGCAGTGATAGTGGCATTACTCATTTGGCAGAACTTTTAGTACACTGGAATTGTTTGCACTTTAATCAAGTGCAACCAATTTAATAAAGTGCAAACAATTCCAGTGTACTAAAAGTTCTGCCAAATGAGTAATGCCACTATCACTGCAACTCAGATGTTTGAGAAACATCAGAAGGACAACTCAAAGGGTTACATGAATGCTCTGAATAGTCAGATTATTCCTACAGATACGTCGACTTGGGGGGTAGGACTAGATAAGTCTAACTTCTTCCTACTCTGTTCAAGCATGTACTAGGTATAAGCAAATTGATAATATACTTGTGGATATGTGTGGAATTATGTGTGTTGACATATTGACTGTCGTTACATGTTTGAAAGAATAAATCAAATCAAATCAAATCAAAACACCTCCTGCTCAATAGTAGTCGGACAGAACTGATGAAGCCTCTTAGATGAGAGATGAAACGTCTTCTACCGAAAACCAAGTCCAGATGATGTAGTGCAGTAACAGTCCACAAGAGGGTAGCATTGGTCTACAATTGATCCAACCAGATTAAAAAATCAGTTCTATCTGTCGTGTATAGAATTAATTCACAGGGAGAATCACTGCAGTGCCAATCATCATTTATTGAACAATATATTGTAATGTGAATTCCAAAGGGAGAGAAACAGAATCACCTGGACTTGTGGATCTCTGCAGAGTTTGGGGTCTTTGTCTGTCTCCTCAAGTCCCCCCAAATGCACCCACACGCTGGTCAAGTCTAAGTCTATGTGCGTCTATCTGAGTCTGCCTTATCAGGCTTGTAGCTGATTATATAACCCTTTCTGCTTGGACCTCCTGCATCATGTCATTGTGGACATCTATGGGCCCCCCTAGCAGTAAATCAGACTCCAGACAAAATATGTAATCAAACAGCATGTAGCTCACATTTGGTATCAGCTTGTGTGTGTGTGTGTGTGTGTGTGTGTGTGTGTGTGTTGAGTGGTCATTAAGTTCATGCGAGTTGAGTTTATATAAGTGATCAAAATATTCCCTGTTTACTTAGAATGTAGCTAACACTGGCCTAATAAGTATAAACTATATTAAGTTTGCTTTTACCACTATAGAATCCCCTCCTCCTGTAGTTATAAGAACTACGGAATTCCTAAACATACTAAAGCAACCACATACAGAAGAATGACAAGAAAACAACAAGGAAGTTCATAAACACACATAAATGCCTACATACAACACTTCCTAATACTAAACAATAAACAGTTATCAAAGGGCTAAACAGTTCAATCTAACAGGGTAAGTCTACACGAAATCATATCTCTAATTACTATGGCTGACTACTGTACTGCTAATAGGACACATATCACACTAAAACTAAACAGTCACAAAACAAAAAAACTTCCATCCAGGTGATTCTCTGTCTCCCCCTCATATAGTAGTACAAGCTTAACAATACACATGTCTGTACTGTATCACAAACAGCTTCAATGCAAACACTGCTTAACAGTTCAACATAGATCTTGCTTTGTGAACATAACAGGCAGACGCGGGCGAAAAACCTCTACAAACGATAATTTCATGGCATTGGCGTCTCTTGAATCTTTCTTTAGACGCTCTGGTAGAGGAAAATTCCCGCGTGACCCCCCGGCAACGTAGCTTGATGCCGTTAGTGGGCGATCGCCAGCAAGGGCCTGCACTGGATCTGAGAGCAAACAGAAAACAGACATAGTGAGATTCAAAATATAACACATGAATCATAAACATGATTACTATAC